CCAGCTGCAATTAAATGCTGGCTTTTTCTGAGCCTATTGCTTTAGCCTTCCTTTGAGATTCTAGTCTTTTCTTGCAAGGCCCTACCCAAAGCCTCATTGTTTGAATCCTGGATTTGCAAAGCCCTTCCCTCCCTGCCTGCCTACTCTCCCTACAGATCACAGCTTGTCTAACAGACAACTCATATGGTGCAGCCAAACAGGCTCCTGAATTTCACAGTGGTAGTGCTCAACACACTCTGCTGTAACTATCGTCTCTGCTATTAACATTTCAAATCTTTTGTTTTGCTGGACCAGAGATGCTTAACTGATTCAGTTTCATTTCACTGCTAAGTGATCTATAGGTGAATTTTATGTGGAGGATCCCAGGGCTTGCAGAAAAGCATAAGCTATTAAGAAGTATGTTTTTATAAAGGGATCAAGTGAGCTTGCAGGTGTGACAGAGCAGTCTAGCACCAGAGTGGAGGTTTGCAAGAATAGGCTTAACATTGAGATCTTGTTCAATTTTCACCAAAACCCAAACAATTGCATAAGGATTGAAAAAACTTGCTGAAAGAAATACGTTCATCAAGCCAGGAGTGAAATGTCTCTCCAGAAACAAACCACTCCTCCCCTTTCCCCATACTCCAGTATGCAGATAGGAACAGATACGCTGAATGAATACAGTCTCTGAGTGAGTCAAGCCTCAATAACACATTGTGTAAGACAGATTTTTATCCTTACGTCTAAATCAGGATAAAAATCACCCTGGCATTAAATTAGAATGAATGAATATGAAAAACATGTCAAGATTTGCTTCTATTACTTATATGATCTATGCTATTTCATACTGCAAGGAAACCAGGAGGGAGGAGCAAGAACTCACCGAAAGTAGGAGAAGCTGTCGTTTGAGCAGCGATACCGTTTCACCATGAACCCCAGAGCCATGGCTACCCACTTCCCTGCAACCTGCCGGAGCCCATTCTGAGCAAGCACACAACAGATCCTGCGCTCGTCTACGACTATCTGATAATGCCATAAAATGACTTTTAGTAAAGCAGGAGGATTCCCACGTGGCAGTAAATCCCAACAGGGCAAAACCCTCCCAGCTGTCTGCAGAGCTTTACTGCAGTCGCTGAAACCATATGCAGCCAGTCTCGACCATCTTTGCTCCCTCACCATAAACAAAACTGAGGCGAGGTCCACTTGGAAATACTCTCAAATTCCTGGCCACAAACTGAAAATATTTATTTGGTCTCCTTTCAAATGTAATTTTCCTTAAGTCTTTTCTCATGCTTTTTCACATGTTTTATATATTACTGACACTGAGAAAATGTTAGAGACAAATGTGTGGGTTGAAGAGCTCAAAGAATGCAGTCGGAAACAAGCTAGAAAAGCTGTGAAAGACGATACAGTAACATGGTGCCAGATAGCCTCCTGGTGAGAGCAGTTGATAACCTGGTGAGATGATGTACTGGCCACACGTCTGAAGAGCTTCATTCACATCTGTTGTGGGTCACAATCAAGCAGAGTCTAAGTCTTCTCACATTAGTGTCTTGTAAAGATACAACACGAGTTTTCTAGTACAAAAGACTACCCAGCAAACAACCTGAATCTGGAGTAATAGAAGTGATGTGCAATTACAGACTGAGAGGTTGTGGATTTCCACAGGACACCTGCGTGCTGACCCACAGTAGGCTTGTTTCTGGAGGGGCATCACAGCTCTCTCTCCTCCCCATCCACTAACCCAGCCACACTGAAACGAAGTTAAAAGACAGAAAAAGTAGCTTGGCCAACTGCTTTCTGCTGAAACAGAAAATCTGATTATGGAAAAATCTGCAAATTATCTCCACCACTCCTCCCTACAGCATTCCTGAATCCTTTCTATTTTAAATCACCTCTGAACAGCATCCCTCTGTCACCATGGCATGCAGTGTTACAGTATTCCAAATACTGATATGCACCAGTATAACTAATCTTCCTTACTCCAGAATTTTTATGTATAAACATCTCCTGTTTCTTAACAGGACCCAAACACCTCAAAAGCATGAGAAAGCAACATGACAGCAGCCTCTATTTCCTCCTTATCCTTGCAGGGTTTTAATTTATAAAGCTATATAATACTTTGAAGGCCAGGCTCTTATATTTGTTATAGCAGGAAAAAGTAGATGCTATCAGTCAATCTGGCCCTGAAAACCCATATAACACCATGACATTGCCTAGCATCACCTGCTTAAAATGGGAAAGGGCTGACTCACTGGGGTAGGACAGGTAAGTTTTTACTGCAACAGATCAAGACTCACAGAGAAAGCAGGGAGAGCAGAAGGTGAGAGAATGGCAATTCTCTCTCATGAATTAAGAGTCAGCTGCTATGTATTATTTTCTTTCAGGCAGAAACAGTTGTCACTGCTTTGTCCCATTGGAAAAAAAATCTCAAACAACAGCATAATAGTAAATACGAATCAATCTTTTTAGCTTCCTCTTTCCTTCAGCCCATCTCTTCCCAGTATACTAATCTGTTCCTCATCTTCAGTGCTTCATTCTCACATGTTTCTGAGTTGGTTTTCCTGCTGTTCTACCCAGCAACTGTATTTTTCAGGCACCCTTAGATAGTGAGTGAAACATATGGGAGGGACAAGATAAATTATTGGCAAGTTTCACTTTACAGTGGAACTGAATTTCCTTTATGGTTTTATTTATAAAACACCATTAGAGAAGTAATAGCTCTATCCATAAACTTTCAAAGTTGGTATATTCAATTGGTGCACTGTCTGATTAGACCACAAATGCAAAGAGAACTCCATAAAACCTTCAATCTTGCCAACAGAAGGTAACTACAAGGTTGAATAGTGCTGTTATGCTTTCCTTCCAAAAAGAACTTATCAGCAATCTGTGACCCTCACCTGCAGCACAATGCTTCAAACAGCTTGAGGCGATGCTTGTGCTTTTGAACTGCAATACTCATTTGTGCAAAGATTTATCTCCAAATAAACCAAACCTCAACTTGCTTTCCACATAGCTTGGCTACTCTCAGGTGACCTCCCTTGTCTCCAGACTGTGCACTCTGTTTACTTCAGCACATCTACCTCTGAAAGGAGGAAGATCACACGGACTGGTATCAAAAATTCTTTGTCCCATTAATAGCAAATGATCATATCATGCCACAAGAACCCCAAAACACTATTCCATCTCCTGCGCTACAGATGCAAGACACGTTGCTATAAGGCTACTGTAGAAGGCCAAAGGAGACGGGTGACTGGATGGAAGGCAAAGAGCAACCACCTGCTTGTCCCTGTCCAACATCCTGCACATCACTGGCTTTCCAGGGCTTTGTCCCACAAATCTCTGAATGGACTCTGCCACTGAAACTTCTCAGTTCATTTGCTCCTGGATCCTCCTTTTTAAATCCATGCCAAAGAGACTTAAGAGGACTGATAGAACAGACCAGCTATTCCTAATGCCATCGCCGCATGCAATGGATTTTATGCTTTGCAAACCATCAGTGAAAATCCATGTTTCATTCAAGTCTAGTTGGCAATTCATGCCCACACTGGCAGGGAGCAGAGGAGGATCTGGTTTTACAGAGAAGGCGGCTTTGCTGTGTATAATATCATGTCTTAAACCAAAGTTGTAGGGATTAATTACAGCTAAATTTATTGGCTTTCCCAGAATGATAGTATTTCCCTTACGCTGCAAAAGGAAGTATCATGAGTCCACATTCAGCGTGAGTACCAAGTTAGTGAAAGGCAAATCTATTATTTATGGCAAAAAGATTTTTGTATTAAAAAACTTCAAGCAAAGCTGGTTACAAACAACAGTAAAAGTAACAGGTACTTTATCACATAGTGGCATTATTTAACATGCTTATGCTCACCGAGTTGCTTTTCATAGCCATGTTGCAACTCCCTCAAAATAGGGATTTATAGCAGAATGTGACTCAAAACAGACTGAGTGAACATTACTATGACTACAGGAGCAACCCCAATGACATCATTAGTCACGTTTGATAAGCAGCACTCTTTTCTGTAACTTGTGAAGTTAACAAGACCTCTAACATCCGAAGCCTTGCTATCTCCATGATTTTATGGTGCTGCCTTTCAGATAGAGAAGACAGCACCATTGATTGAAGCAGCACAGCATGACAGACACAACTAATGAATTCAACTCAGCTAAAGGAGAAGGAAGAATGCACTAAACAATGTAAAATCACAGAAGCCTGCCGTGGCCTTAAGTACAGGGCAACCTATTTTTCACTCAATCTAGTTCTCCTGCTGGGCTACTGTGGAACCTAATACAGAGTAAAGTTTAATAAAAACAATCAAGAGACTTTACAAATAGTTAGGAAAAACTGTGTAAGATCTTTTGCTTGCCTCATATACAACCTATTCCCAGTCTGAATCGCCAGCCAAAAACTAAACAAGCATGTATATAACAAAGTGAGCACTAAAATGCCAGAAGTTACTGAGTTTTCCAGTTTTCTGAAGAACAGACCGTCTGTTCATCGTAGCAACACTGCAGTAACTATAACAATTGACTGACATTAGCAAGGATTCTTAATGTGCCTGAACTGCACTGCACATGTCTGGGCTTTGCCAGTGCTAGCTCAACTAATCTGCTTGCACCAACACAAAATCGGCCACTGCACTGATCTGCAGATAGGTATTGCATGCATTGAGGCAAGTTTCCCTAAAGCTGATTGATCCAATGGTTTTGTATTATGAAATTTAAAGTCTGAAGCTTATTTGAAACAGATGCAGAAAAAGGTATTTGAGTTCATATTCTTAACCTGAACTTTTCATCAGCTGTTAAGAGTAGTAAAAATTTTCAGTCCTGTGTCAGCAGTAAACTGCATCCTAACTAACTTCTAACGTACTAAAGTCAGCCCCAAAAAAACACCCATCTGCTGGTTTAACAAATCCCCTGCCTTGTTCTCAGTCTGTGAGTGCATACACATGCTGTGTATAGATTTTGTGAAGTGCCTCTGGATGAGAAGAGATTGTTTTGGGAAATGCATTGAACCTTACCTGTCATCAGCATTGCGGAGAGATGGGAGACGAAAACTAGTGTTCCTGTCCAGCTTTGACTGACTCTTTGTCCTCTTGATGGACCCTTTCAGACGTTTACTGAAGAAGCCCTAAAATGAGAAGCTGCATAAGTGAAACAGGGAAATTGATGCCAGTAATAAATCAATCAATGCGCTGTCACTGAGTCCAAACTCAGCAGTGATTCCTGCTGATAATGATTACAGAACGTGCTCTATTGAGATTCCTCTGAGCAGGAAGACAGGCTGGGCTAGATTATCAATGACCATTCCAGTATGTCATAGCTTCAGATTGCAATAATTAGCACTACTTGCATTACAGGTGCACTTCAATGAATTCCAGCTATTATACAAGAGACCCCAAACCCCACAATTATAATGTAATAAGGAGTAGTCTTAGATATCAGTATTTGTTCTCACCTCCTCTTTACATGCCATGTTTTTAATTCCTGATCAGATTAAGAGCAGAAATTGTCTTTTATTACGAACTTCTGCTGCACCCACAGTTGCACCCAGGTTTTTCTTTTTAATTTAGAAGTAGCAGGTAAGTCTGACAATAATTTGTAATTTCAGTAGTCTCACTAGCCAGAATTTAAAATTTCAAAAGATTTCACATATAAGTGACTTCAGTTACCAGTTCTGGTACTGCTCTGAAGCAAAGCTCAACGCAAACAATCTACTTGTGATCTAAAAATATTAAATCCTCAAGTAACCTGTCTTTTGAACTACAGTTGTTCACCAAATGCAGACCAAAGCCACATTAGGTGGAGGGAGGCTCTGTGGATCATCTAGTCAGCCTCCTACTCAGTGTGGGTGTACTGCCACAGTAGGTCAGCCTAACTCTGACTCTGTCCAGCTAAGTCTCAAAAACCTCTGGTCAACTCAGTTCAGTGCTGCATTATCCTTCTAGTGAGAAGAATTTTCCTTTGTGTATAACAAAAACCTCCCAAGCAGAAATCTGCAGCTGCTGTCTCATTATAGCATCCCCCACTGCTGGGAAAAGTTTGTGTCCAGCACCTCTGTAATTCTCCTCTCCATTGCAGCAGGCTGCCTTGTATCAACCCTTAGCCTTTTCTTCTCCAGATAAACAAGTCCTCAACCTCTCAGTTCTCTCATTGCTGATATCATCACGAGCCACCGCTGTGTTACCAGTACTGAAACACAAGTACATCTGACCACTGACATACAAAGGGGTGTGTGCATCTGTACATGTGGGGAAATCAAAGAAACATTTCAACACCTGCACATTTGGTTTTCTCCTATAGCACTCTGAATTACTTTGATCATAATGTGCATTTTAAACAAACCATAGTGTCAAAATATTTCCAGGGCTTGCAGACATACATGCGCATACATTCTTTAGCATGATCAAAGCAAATACAGAGATTCTTAATGCAATGGGATTCAGCAACATTTTACTAGCTGAATCTGGTTTGCTCCTTCACAGAACAGCTGCACAGAGCCACCATACCGTGTGCACTGATGTCAGGAGATTTACCAAACACACATGAGTGAAACCACATTTGTTAAAAATATTACAGACTGTTTGGTAGAATTTGCCCAAAGAGAATGTTCTTTTGGCATGGATTGAACCATCAGATCTACAGTCTTACTTTAGTAAAGGTCTAGTGACAATGATAGCCAGCTAGGGCCAGCCCTCTCTCCTATCGTCTGTGTTCTGCTAGGATAGAAGTCGAGTACAGCTTATTTTGAACACATTCACAAGGCAAGTCTCCACAAGCTGCGCTTGGGACAGGTGACAGATGCTGCCCACAGCTGCCTCCTGTGATACAGAAATCAGCAAATTGGAGACAAACAAGGTCTTCTGTTCTTTCCTATGCAGAACACCGACAAAGCAAGAGTGTTTTATTGGTTCCAGGTGACTCAGCCAGGCTGAAGTATGTGACTTGTTCATCTCAGACTTGTAAGAATTAGGCCATTGCAACTAAAGATAACTTTATCCATGATCTTTTAGTCTGAAAAATCTCACATATCTTTCACCTCTTTAGGAAGAAATTAGATTTACCTATGATTGGACAAGGTGCTACATAATTTCATCTAGGATCCCTTTCCCACAGAAGGTTGGACCAGATGATCCTCTGAGGTCCCTTCCAACCTGGGCTGCTCTGTCATTCTACAGTATTCAAAGCAAAGGGCTATCCCCCTCTTCTCATCCATGGATGCCGATTTAATTGTTGGAAAAGAAGGTGCTTCCAAACAGCAAAGTCTGCATTTGGTCAGGTTCAAGGCATACACTGCAAGCATCTCTAAGCCAATTTTCTAGTCTCATATTTGCCTTAATTTCCCTTACTTAAGCGCTCCTTTTGAAACAAAATGTATCCTCTTCCCTTTGAACAAGCACACCCTTCAACCCCAGTCTACCTTTCCTCATTCTGTTATTCTTGGTCCTTCTACATTCAGTTTGCCCCTCTTCCACACAATTTACTCCTTGAAACTGCACAGTTCCCCTCTCTGTAGACACTGGTAGGTGGGTTCTCTCTCTCTGGGCACTTGTTTCCACTCTGCTTCTTTTGATGCACAATGAAGTGAGTCCTGCTCAGTTGTCATGTGCAAATTAAACCCCACCAAATCCACAGTTCCTCAAGCCCACTCCTGTGACATCTGCAGCAAATACAGCAAGATGGCCTGTCTCCTCTCTTCCGCTGAGATTAGGATGGTGATATGTTACTGAAAGCCTATCCATACCTGAATGCTAGCTGTAGGATCTTTCCAGCACATGCAGATCATTCTCTTCCAAATACTTGTGTAGGAAACCACCTGCTCACACACACGCTAGAGCCTGACAGGCACCTCTCCATGGGCAGCAGAGAGAAACTGGGATGCCCTGTGGGATAGTGCTGTAGGGATGGAGGAAGAGGGAATCTGTTTTCTGCATCTGAAGGCAGTGCTACATTTAAGGCTGCCCTTCAATTTCTGAGGCTTGCCAGCCAGCAGGCTCCTCAGGGGTGAAAGCTACTATACTCTCCTGCAATAGGAAATAAAATGGAAAAGAAAAGGCCTGATACCTAGCTACTGCAATTACTTCCCACAAATCTACATAGTGTGGCGGGGAAAAGGTACTGTCAAAAGAGAAGTGTTTTCAGCTGTGTGTGCCACTCAAACTCTACCTATGTTCCTGCACTTTTCTTGGTCCTGGCATTGAAAAAGTGCCTTTGAAAAAACTCTGTAATCAATAGATGCTCTTGGGCTTCTCTTGGGGCCATTGCTGGAGCTCAAGCAGAGGATGTATAGCACTTTCAAAGGCACTTTCATATATTCTGACCTCTCAGCATAAAAGGTAACAAATCCAACTACAGGGATTCAGATCTGGTGGACCCTGGCTTCATTCCGGTACCTCTCAGGTTATTCAAATTGCAAACATGAAATAACATGTTTTTCTCTCCTTAAGGGCAAATAAGACAAAGCTGACCCAATTCAGTGGGTCCAAAAGTATTTATATTGAATCACTCCAAATCCCACTCAATGATGGACTACGAATATTAATTTTTGTGTGCATGCACGATTTTAAATTGGCACTGCTTTAACATTAGTGAACATGTTCTTGGTTTAATTGAACATAATCTATTCCCTAATGAAAGAAATATGCTATCTGGGGTTGCATAAGGCTATAAGACTATATATAAAAAAAGAAAAAAAAGGTAAGAACATACTTAAGGATAAAAATGATTCAAAAAAACAGTGTGCTTATTGGTCATCCTGAAAAGACTTGAAAACATTTCTAATATTTGCCTTCTGCACCTTGCTGGCAGTTCATGCAGGGCCAGTGCTTACAGATGGACAACCTGGGAGCAGCATGAAAAATTCACATGTGCCAGGACTGAACAGAATTTTTTTACTTCCATTTGCCAAAGGAAATGCTTTTAAATACTGAATGCAGACAGAAAAAAAGATGTAGTGACGAAAAATAAACTTCTATCTGTCACAATGCCATCTAACAAAGTTTTATTTCCTTTTCCTTCTATAGAGAAGAAATCCCTGCCAATGCTAATAACTGTAACTTGTTCAATTAAAAAGACAAAACCATCCTTATTATTTTTCTTACTGTCTAGGTATTTGTCTTAAATACTTACTTCCACCCAAAATACGCTGCTCTTTGGTTCTTATACCTAAATGTAATCAAGTGTCTAAGCTTTAAGACTCATCATGGAACATTTCTAGTAACAGTGAGAATTTTACTGCTTAAAAACACCCTCAGACAAAAAGATATAAATTTATTACCCAAACTGCCAGAAATTATAAAACTATGTTCTTAATTAAAAAAAGTACAAAATATTTGGTAGGATAAATTAGCTAGGATGTACTTTGAAAAGATCAGTACCATGTAAAGACAGTATTTTAAGAGGAGTCCAGGGAGAGAGTAACTGTAGAATTGTGGCTTAATCCCTCAAGAGACAGATTTGATGGTCCACACCTAATGAGACAAAGCTCAGTACAAATTCCCCTCAGAACCACAGGTTTAGGGGAACATGGATGGAAAAGAGACACCGAAGCAGGGGGAGAGAGCAAATGGGCACAAGCACACACTTAATCAGGCATGTGGAGTAGGTTCAGAGCAGGTTCATCATCTCAGCCAAAAGCATCAAACACTGGGGTAAGAAATCCCAATGACACAACATCTAAAAATAATTCAATCCCACTGAGAATTCTTTTCATCTCATTTGGAAGTTAAGCAACTCTGCCAAGAAATCGCCACAGGAGAAGTGACAAATTCAGCAGGTTTTTCTATCTTCCCTCCATAGCTGCACCAGGAAGGTATAGAAACCCTGACCCTCAAGTATTTTAAACTCAGGGATGATTGTTGTTCAGGGCAGCTTTGGCTTCAGAAAATGCTCACCCCGTGCTGAAGATGACAACTGTCTGTCTGTCCTTAATCTCAGTTGAGCAGCACATGAACTGCCCAACAAATTCAAAGACAGCCCAAGTATGAACTACTCAACTCTTTGACTATTGCTCCCTATAGACACACTGATTCTTCCCTTTGGAGAGAACAGCTCATGCATAATAAATAATGATTGTCTTTGCTGTTTTGAAAGTGAAAGGTTAATTCAGCCATGAAGTAGTAAAACTATATA